ACGTTCCCTTGGAACTGGAATCATGGCGGAATATCATGTGAAGTCCACTTCGCAGGGCACTTACGGTCGAATAAGACAACGTGTGAATGCTGCCTGAACAAGAAACCTCCTTACTGAAGTGAAAGTCTTGACTGGTGTCACTATCTCGCGAACGCGCCGGCGGATCTCCACCAAATTCGACGTGGGGGTGGTCTCATTCGAAAGCAGGCCTCTAGACGTACACTCGATTCGCATTCGAGAGGGTTCCTCGAGCTGAAGGGATCCCCCTAATTTGGTGCGGATTCGCCGCACCGTTACGGAGATATGGGCGTTCAAAGTTTCAATTGTTTTCCATAGACTTAAGCTTCAATATATATATATATGCTGTATATATATATATATACTGTATAAATAATATCTATGCAACAATAGACATTGTCAAAAAAATTATAAATCATTACAGCCTTAATTTATGCAGCAATGTTAACAATTTTACAACTAATTGAAAAAAATTACTATTACTGTAATGAGAACTTGATGAAAGATGGAAAAAAAAATAATGGAAATGACAAAAAAGTAAACTATCCAGCTGCATTTAGTAAAGAGTATTTGTGTGTAATCTGAGATACACTTTCAAATATACTGAATATATATAGAATAACTTTCATGAGATTCACTCATACATCTGCAAATTAATGGTAAAAGAAAACATTCGGCAAAATAAAATAAAAAATACATACATATACATACACTAGAGTGACTCATATTCATCATATTAAAACCTTTGTTTGTTTGGGTGAGATTCAGTATGGGTTCAGCAAGAAAAGGTTATAGATTGTGCGTCTATAAAAGGTTGACTCTCATGTGAACATGGTCATGTCATATTTCATCCTAAAATTAAAAAGAAAAACATTTCTTTGCATTAACAAAATTATAAATTATTATGACCCAAATTACTAAATATGACCTGGATGTGTTTTTGACAGGCTTCATGAGAGTCTCTAATAATATCATTTAGATAATCAACTGTGTCATGCAATTAGTTGTGCATTTTCAAAAAAAGATTTTTAAAATCTGTTCATTTGTACACACTGATTGATAAAGAACCACTTCCTGGTCCTCCATGCAATGCAAACTGTAGAGAAGACGATTACATATGACTTCCTGCACTAATGATTAAACACAGACCTGCAGTGAATCCATCTCAAGGTGTCTCCTTACTGTATACTGTTACAAAGGAAACTTCCTGAATTTCTAGCTACAGTTGAACTGGCTTTCATTATATCGCATTAACAACCACAGTCAAACAGAGGAAATGATGAAAAGCTATAATAACAATGACCAATACTATAGGTTATGATATAAATTTCTAAGGAGAATTATTTTTTTTTAAATACAGCCAGTAGCTATATATATATATAAATGAATAGGTGATTTGAAGTAGCCCAAAACATGAAGGTTGGCAGGACAAGATGCATTACATCAGGTTATTAATAACAAACTTTGATTCTTGATTTATTGACTTATGATTGATTCTCATAAAGGAGTGGAACAACACGAGGGTGAATACTTAAAATAAGCAAGAATATACATTTACAAAATGCAGGTCACAACAACTATTAAAATAAATACATGACAGTCAAGTCATTCTGTTACACACTCTGAAGACAAAGCCTCATTTAACTTGCTGTATAAGGGTGTAAAAGTCTGACATCAGTTTAAAGTGAACTGTGTGGGATCAGATGTTATGTTTGATTAGTGAAACTGAGCTTGACATCTAACAGGATCATCTGTGTTTGCACAAGGACAAACTAGCCTCAGAAGTGAGGCGGCAAATCAAAATTCAATCCTCCAAAAACATTTAATTGACTGGCGAAGCTGTTCCTAATTAAAGGACCTCTCACAGAGACATTTTCATTGGACGAGGTGCTTATGGTTCACACATGTTCCCCAGAAGAGCATGACTGGGAGACTTAGCTTCAGTTTTATTTTATTTGGCCCTCACTGGACATCTGTTATTATTGCTTGGCCACGTTAATGAAGATATTTGCGACTTTTGTTTCAGATAAACATTAAGTAGAGTCTTTTAATCTGCAGAGCGATTCTCTTGAGATGCAGACATTTGATTAAGTGTGTGAGGAGTAACCAAGACAAAGAGAGCGAAGTGCTGTCAAAACAGCTCTGAGATTTCAAATTATGCAGGGGGTGAAAGAGGGCAGAAGCAAACTCTACAAATTTGTACTTGACAAGATATTCAATGTGGGAAAAAGTTATGATGTGCCTCTACTGCCCTCTGCAGGTGTAATTGGGCTATTCTGATAACCATTCTATCATAATTAATCTTTAGAAAACACAGATATACTTATAACATATAAAAAATGTTCTGGGGTTTAATACAAGTTAACCTAGAGCAAAAAGCACTTGCAGCACAAAAATGATCACAACAGAAAATCTTTTTGAATTTTCACTCTTTTTTTTTCAAAATCAAGGCTACAGTAAACAGGCAGTGCAACATTAAAATATATCAAGTTCTAACAATACAGTACCGTACAAAGTTTGGAGCCTGTAAGGCTGCATTTATGCATGTATTTATCAAAAAATACAGCTAAAACATTTTAAAATAAAAGTTTTCTATTGGAATATATTATTCTAGTGATGCAAAGCTGAATTTTCATCATTACTCCAGTCTTCAGTGTCACATGATCCGATGTTTTTCAACATTTTTTCAGGATTCTTTGATGAAAAGAGTTACAAAAATAGCATTTAATTGAAACAGAAATCTTCTGTAAGATTATAAATGCTGTTACAGTCGCTTTTGAACAATTTAATGAATCCTTGCTGACATTTTTTTTTATTTCTTCACGTCTCGCGCACTTTAATGCCCTTTGAATGTAACGTGTACGTTCCCTTGGAACTGGAATCATGGCAGAATTTCATGTGAAGTCCACTTCGCAGGGCACTTACGGTCGAAGAAGACAACACTTGAATGCTGCTGCCTGAACAAGTCCTTACTGAAGTAAAAGTGTTGACTGGTGTCACTATCTCGCGAATGCGCTCATATTAAAACCTTTGTTTGTTTGGGTGAGATTCAGTATGGGTTCAGCAAGAAAAGGTTATAGATTGTGCGTCTATAAAAGGTTGACTCTCATGTGAACATGGTCATGTCATATTTCATCCTAAAATTAAAAAGAAAAACATTTCTTTGCATTAACAAAATTATAAATTATTATGACCCAAATTACTAAATATGACCTGGATGTGTTTTTGACAGGCTTCATGAGAGTCTCTAATAATATCATTTAGATAATCAACTGTGTCATGCAATTAGTTGTGCATTTTCAAAAAAAGATTTTTAAAATCTGTTCATTTGTACACACTGATTGATAAAGAACCACTTCCTGGTCCTCCATGCAATGCAAACTGTAGAGAAGACGATTACATATGACTTCCTGCACTAATGATTAAACACAGACCTGCAGTGAATCCATCTCAAGGTGTCTCCTTACTGTATACTGTTACAAAGGAAACTTCCTGAATTTCTAGCTACAGTTGAACTGGCTTTCATTATATCGCATTAACAACCACAGTCAAACAGAGGAAATGATGAAAAGCTATAATAACAATGACCAATACTATAGGTTATGATATAAATTTCTAAGGAGAATTATTTTTTTTTAAATACAGCCAGTAGCTATATATATATATAAATGAATAGGTGATTTGAAGTAGCCCAAAACATGAAGGTTGGCAGGACAAGATGCATTACATCAGGTTATTAATAACAAACTTTGATTCTTGATTTATTGACTTATGATTGATTCTCATAAAGGAGTGGAACAACACGAGGGTGAATACTTAAAATAAGCAAGAATATACATTTACAAAATGCAGGTCACAACAACTATTAAAATAAATACATGACAGTCAAGTCATTCTGTTACACACTCTGAAGACAAAGCCTCATTTAACTTGCTGTATAAGGGTGTAAAAGTCTGACATCAGTTTAAAGTGAACTGTGTGGGATCAGATGTTATGTTTGATTAGTAAAACTGAGCTTGACATCTAACAGGATCATCTGTGTTTGCACAAGGACAAACTGGCCTCAGAAGAGAGGAGGCAATTCAAAATCCAATCCTCCAAGAAACATTTAATTGACTGGCGAAGCTGTTCCTAATTAAAGGACCTCTCACAGAGACATTTTCATTGGACGAGGTGCTTATGGTTCACACATGTTCCCCAGAAGAGCATGACTGGGAGACTTAGCTTCAGTTTTATTTTATTTGGCCCTCACTGGACATCTGTTATTATTGCTTGGCCACGTTAATGAAGATATTTGCGACTTTTGTTTCAGATAAACATTAAGTAGAGTCTTTTAATCTGCAGAGCGATTCTCTTGAGATGCAGACATTTGATTAAGTGTGTGAGGAGTAACCAAGACAAAGAGAGCGAAGTGCTGTCAAAACAGCTCTGAGATTTCAAATTATGCAGGGGGTGAAAGAGGGCAGAAGCAAACTCTACAAATTTGTACTTGACAAGATATTCAATGTGGGAAAAAGTTATGATGTGCCTCTACTGCCCTCTGCAGGTGTAATTGGGCTATTCTGATAACCATTCTATCATAATTAATCTTTAGAAAACACAGATATACTTATAACATATAAAAAATGTTCTGGGGTTTAATACAAGTTAACCTAGAGCAAAAAGCACTTGCAGCACAAAAATGATCACAACAGAAAATCTTTTTGAATTTTCACTCTTTTTTTTTCAAAATCAAGGCTACAGTAAACAGGCAGTGCAACATTAAAATATATCAAGTTCTAACAATACAGTACCGTACAAAGTTTGGAGCCTGTAAGGCTGCATTTATGCATGTATTTATCAAAAAATACAGCTAAAACATTTTAAAATAAAAGTTTTCTATTGGAATATATTATTCTAGTGATGCAAAGCTGAATTTTCATCATTACTCCAGTCTTCAGTGTCACATGATCCGATGTTTTTCAACATTTTTTCAGGATTCTTTGATGAAAAGAGTTACAAAAATAGCATTTAATTGAAACAGAAATCTTCTGTAAGATTATAAATGCTGTTACAGTCGCTTTTGAACAATTTAATGAATCCTTGCTGACATTTTTTTTTATTTCTTTAAAAAACAAACATTTGATCATGTATTGCTACAAGAAAAACACACTAGCTACTGACTCCCTAAATTTGTATGTGTGAAATGATATCCAATCTCTCAAGCAAATCCGCTGAAGTTTTGCATACAATGAAAGTAAAGGAAGAGAGGAGGAATATCAGTCAATAATGACTTAAATGACTTCAGAAGACTTGTAATATAGCATGAAAGTGATTTGGAGTACTTTTATTAACTCATGGAAAATCATTGCTCAGATCTCCTTTTTTGTGTCATGTAAGAAAGAAAACAGTTCTCTGTTTTTCATTTTTGGGTAAACTATTCTTTCAATATGTACTGAACCCAGAACATTCATTTAATGAACTCAGCATCAAAAGCCAAAGATGTAAAATGTGCCAAGGTCTTCTTAAAGTAATCTTTTCCCTGTCAAACAACGAATGCTTCACTTACAGTGTGTGTATTATAACTCCACACATGTCTGATTGGCTGTATGTAAACATCTCATTAGGCTGGGTGTCTCCGAGGGCTTAATGACCCGACAACTGAGATTTACAGAAATTAGCCTTAACACCCCCGTTTCACAAGTGATAAAACGAGGTCTGGAAAGGAAACCTGTGATACTCCACACACTGCTTTAAACGCATCCATTTTCACTGTGCGCCAGAGAGATAAGTGGCAACAAACAGACTACAAGGACAGAGCTTAACTAACGTCAAACTACACTGACGGTTTAGATTTCAACACAAGGGTCTGTCACGCACATTACATTTTTGAATAAATAAATGCACAAAGTGTTTGTATGCAAAGGTTCATGATGAAACAAAAGAGTTTTTGTACACAAGAGCTGCTTTTAGTGCTGGCCATGAAGACTCTGGATTTTCTCAAGTATTGTTTCTAAGGTGAACCACTAACCTTGTTCAGATGACAGTGACATTGACTGCTATCCACTTAAGATAATTGAATGACATGTTGAAGTCAATCAAATCAATCCAGTCGACAAGCTAATTGAGGGATGAACCAGACCAGTGCCGTCTCCAGGGACAATGACGTTTGGGGTCTTTCATACCGACTTGCTTACAAAGCAAAAACGTTGGCTGTTTACCCATGCTGACTTCACCCAAGCAATCGCAGCAAAAGCAGGAGAGGATTGTTTGTGCTTGGAATATTTACCCAGGAGACTCAAACCACTGGGTATGATAGATACACCTTCGAGATCAGTCAGTTTTGATTGGTGCATCCTCTCTTGCTTTGGCCCGTTTCGGTTATTTAAAGAAATAATACATACAAGCAAAGTTGATGTGTTACCTCCAAACGGTGCAGAGGGTCATTGGGTAAGGACTCTGTAATGAACTCCTCCAATGATTTGGGTTGATTAGATGAAGATTTTGATGGGGCGGGATTCACAGTGGAAGACACTGCTTCTTGATGCTTCTGTTGCTCCTTTTGAAGTCTTCTCTCTTTCCTGAGGTCCTTAGCTTTCCGACACAAAGGCCTGTTGGGATCGACTCCCTTACCTAGAATTAAGAAGAAAACAATGATAGAAGATATTTGTGAGTTGATTAAATCACCAATTGACAGTACAAGCATTAGTGAGTGCATTGTCCTAACATCAAGAAATTACACTACTGTTCAAAAGTTTGAGGTCGGTAAGAAGAAGAATTTATTGGATGGTGTCAAGCGGGTGTTTTTACAAGTTTTTAAACTTGCAAACATATTCAATTCTTAGCCTTTAGAATAACATACACTGATCAATCATGCACATTCAGACCAAGAAAATAATAGGGTCAATTTTGATTTTGTGTTGACTTGGTTAGCTTTATGTGGCATTTTTAAGAACATTTGCCCACAGGCACAGGCACACCCTGAGTCTTAAATATGTCAAATAAATAGTTCACAGTGGAAAACTTGACATCTCCAAAAAGAGCCAAAACCAGCAGCGGGAGTCTAAAAAACCTGCGGGCCGGGATGCCCATCTGAAACAAAACTAAGCGTCCATTTCCAGACTACCACTGCTAGAGGAGTGTTAAGACTCCAGGAGAGGTATAAGCGATAACAGGTCTAGAGCACATCCAGCATTTGGAGCCGTTTTGCTGGGTGTGAGAGCAAGTTTCCATAAGCGGCTCGCGGGCACGTTCGCTAACGGTAGGAGAGCGTGATCCTTTGAGCGAGTTACGAGCATGATGTGTGCGCTCCAATGAGTCGTCTAGTTTGCATTAGCAAGCGCAAGTCCTCCCGTTTAGATGGAAGTCATGTGCGCTCCTCTGATATCATGACATCATCGCAGCTGTAAAACAACAGGGCTCTGTTTGTTGACTCCCGCTGCTTTAGCGAGGATTGTTCAGGCCACTCGCAGGTTTAAATGAAAGTGTCGAGATGGTTGTTCATTTGCCCTGAAGGAAACCGAAGGAGGTGATAATCCCAGATCGAGAACGACAGGCAGGGCTGGTCAGGAAAAGGGGGGACGGAGAGGGTCATTGCATCGGTTACTGTTTCAGAGCGTGCGGCTTCGGCAGCCCTGGCAGCCGGCCATCCATTTACTATTGAGAAAAGATTAGAGGGTGGGCTATATTGTGTAATGCTGAACTAACGCTTGGACACACACTCCAGTCATTAACTTTATCTCTGACAACTGTCAAGCACCCCATCACCTTATTTCACCTAAAAAATGTTCCTATTCTGAAGCACAATCAAATTTCTATCTATAAAACGATTTTCCAAGAATAATTTGAGTCGTGTAAAACTGCTTGCTGCTTTGATTTTGGGATGCTTGGCTGGGTATTGCAATGCATTTGCTAAAGTTTCTGGTCTCTAGATATGCCTGTAGGCAATTTCGAACTGATTAGCTGGCAATTACGAAAACAGACACACATATATGACACCAGAAGTGCAAAATGAAATGCTTCACATCCTGTTCTAGCGGTCGAGAACAAAAACTGATTAATTTGTTGGACTGTGCAAGCTAAACAGTTTATGTGTGATAATGCATTTTGAACTTTGGCAGTATATATCCGTGTATAAGAGTACAATAACCTGCTCATTCCTTCCCTCTCTTTCTGTATCCCCCCTCAATCTCCCTGGACCGATACCAGCCCCTCGGAGTGCTCCCGGCATCCTATATCAACAGTTTACACGTCGACATCCTGTTTGGAGCAATAAGGAAAGCGGGGCCATTTCCTGCCTGTTCCTGTGCCAGCCGCCATCGAGCGTCAGCCAGCCCGCCTGCCATCAACCCATCTGAGATACAATAGCTAAGTGCATCTCATAAAACCTGTCAGAAGCATATAAATCAAATAAAATGTAATTAAAATAAGGAATTATATATTTACATGAAGGAAGCCTAAAACCTTTTTTTTTTTGCATTTTGATGATTATCATTACTGTAATTTTTTACTACTATAGCAAAGAAAAAAAACTATTCATAAATCAAGGTCTGTACAACAAATGCCAAATACTTCCATGATGAACACGTCACAATTTCAAGTTTAGAATAGGTTTTAATTAGGGATGTCAACGATCGATGATCGATTAATTGTCGATAATTCATTCCTACAACTTAATTCGTCCCTACGACTTATTAATTTGTGGCCACTGTCCATGTTTCATTAATTTTGTTTCTTAAATAACTCATGATTTAATGAATGAATACATCGAACGAATTCTTAATTCATGGCCATGAAATATTTCATTTCCCTTCCGCATGTTTACCACAGTAAGAGATGCGAACAATGCCTAAATATTATTGAATTTGCAAAATGGGATGCTTTAAGGAAAATGTATAACCTATGTAAGTAATAGGCCTAAAATAAAAATAACAATTTGTTTTCATTAAAAAAAATATGCGAAATATATCTGACTTAAATAATTAAGCTAACAGATTTAAAACAGAAGTGTGGCGCGGCGCTCCATAAACAAGTTCACGGAAAGGAAAGGATACGCGCATTCTGTTTTTTTGCTTTATTTTGCAAAAGCACAAATCTTGTTTTTATTGTGAGTGTGCAAAAATAAAAGTAAACACTTTTGCGGATTATATCTTACTCCAAAAATGGAGTTTTATATGTTTCAGCTGTTCGATCGCACCGGCGCACCGCACACACACACCCCACATATTCTAGCAATTCAAACTTACATCGCATTAAAGTTAACGATTAATCGATTAATTGATCGTTCATTTAAACGACGATCGATCATGGAAATGATCGAAAATTGACATCCCTAGTTTTAATCTAGAGTATCAAGTAGAGTAAGGTGTTTTTCTAAAGAAATCAATACTTTAATTCAGCAAGTATGCATTAAACTGATCAAAAGTGACAGTAAGGATATTTATAATATTACAAAAGTTTTCTAATTTAAATAAATGCTGTTCTTCTGAACTTTCTATTGATCAAAATATGTATCATAGTTTCCACAAAAATATTAAGCAGTACAACTCAATGTTTCTTGAGCAGCACATTATCAGCACAGTAGAGTGATTTCTGAAGGATCATGTGACACTGAAGACTGGAGTGATGATTTCAGAGGCCTTCAATTATGCCTTCAGAGGAATAAATTATACGTGACCCTGTCTGTGAAATCCAGGCTAAAGTCTCAAAATCTAATTATGAGATAACAAGCATCAAAGTTTGATTTCAATCATTAATTTCACTATGATTTCAATCTTTGACATGGCCTTACTCAGTCAATATTAAAGATATAAAGGTTATATTTTCACAGAATGTTTTACATCTTTATGAAGGATGATTTTATGTAGAAAAAAATGACTTTAGCTGGGTTTTCACATGCAGGGTCACATATTTGAAAACATATTTAAATGGAAACAGTTATTTTGACTTGTAATATTTTTTCTTTTTTTTCTTTAAAAAACACAAAGTCTTACAGTGGTGTATATTATTTTAAAATTATATTTCATTACAACAAATAAAGTTTTGACTTAATTGTCATTAAAATAATGCCTCAATGCCAAAAAAAAAAAAAAGGCCTAAAGACATTTGACCTGGACAATTTCTGGACTGTTCTGGACAAGTTTCAAGAGATTCACCCATGAACAACACAAGAACAGTGTTTACTTTCTTTCTTTAATTTAAAACTAGAATAAAATCTAGATGTCTTAGAAGTTATCTTTAGAAGTGCAGCATTAACCGGATGCAACTTGTTAGTTACACTTGCAACATAAAGCACAGATTTGGACCAGCTTTAAAAAGCCCATTGATAACAGACTATTTACACTTTCCTCAAATAAATCTGGCCTTTACACGCTTCGCATGAGATGTGGGACCTCCTACAGGACCTCCGAGCGCTGCTCTGTGACTTCCTCCGACAAAGAGCCAGAGTCATTGAGACAATTAGCTCTTTCTTAACATTCATTCTTCCCTCTTTTCCTGTTAATACCTCCAGTTGACTTAGAGGAGGGAATGTTTCCGGCCAGGGTTGTAAATACGGCAAAGGGATGAGAGATGTTGAATGGCTTTCCTCCAAACTAGAGTAAACGAGAGAGAGCTAGAGCAGACGCTGGGCCGGATCCAGGACAAGGACAGCCTGCGTTCTGTTACTCACACTCGGAGTGGTGTGGTGCTGCCTGGTTACAATACAGTAGAGTATCATATGAATTAGGGTTGCACAATTAATCGAATTTCTAATAGTGATTACAATTATGGATGCCACAATTACGTAATCGTTCAAAGCGGCAATTAATCGTTCAAAGTTCACTTATGTTATTCTGTGTGCTTAAGATGCATTTTTTTCTTTCTACATGTTATCTTAAGGGGTTTTCCATTGTTTTAATTTTAGTTTTAGTATAACATTATAATACCATTCATATTTTTACTTTTGTTTGTAATTTAAAGAAGAAACCAATCCGATGTATAGTTGACATTTGAGGCTTAATACTATAGAAAAGCACTAAAGGTTTTTCAGTTAGTGTTTTCAGCTTGTTTATTTTCATATAAAAATATGGTATGGTATAAACAACATTCAATGTAAATTGTGATAATCGTAATTAACAATCGCAGTTACAATTTCAAGGGAATAATCGACAATTATGATTTTTGTCATAATTGTGCAGCCCTAATATGAATGCATCTGCACACTACTCGACTCAAGCACACATTAAGAAACCCCTTGACACGGCTGACAGGGGTTCGTGGTCCCTAGTATAATTGCAATGGATTTTCAATCACTTGTCACTTTAAAAATATTAGTATAGTACTTTTCACATTACAACTGATTCCAAAACAGTAAAAAAAAAAAAACTGCACCTTACAATCTCCAACAAGCAAGGCAACTAAAGCGAGGGGGAAAAATTTGAAAGGGACAGTTCAACATGTATGACTTAATTTCTTCTGTGGGACATAACAATGGACCCCATTGACTTTCACTGTATGGACAGAAAAAAAACTTCTATATCTTTACTATCTTCTTTTGTACTCTACAGAAAAAAAAATGCATATAGTTTTGCATGACGGTGAATGAATGACCTATTATCCTTTTAAAGGGGTCATATGATGCTGCTAAAAATAACATTATTTTGTGTATTTGGTGTAATGAAATGTGTTTATGTGGTTTAAGGTTGCGTGCACATTTGGGCAGCATTATGCTAATATTTCCACATAGTGACATAGACATGTGGGGGCGTGCTAGAACGAGCCGTTTTAGGTAGGCGTGGCTGACTCTTAACTTTTATAAAGAATATCTCTTTGGATTTGAGACTTTAGTCTTTGAAACTTTACAGATCTTCTTTATGCACCAAGAGCTTGTAACACTCCAAAGAGAAAGGAAAAATTGAAATCACATCATATGATCCCTTTAAGATTCTTAGGTAGGCAAGTATAAAACTTTGGAAAGAACTAGATCCAAGCTCAGGCTATGACACTGAATAAAAAATACATACAAAAAAACTTAAATAAAATAATAATAAATTAATATATACTTTTGAATAATAACTGAAAAACACTTAAAATAATTTATAATGTAAAGTAAATTATAATTATAATAATTTATAATTATCATAATGTTCATATTAATAATAATAATAATAATAATAATACAAAGTTAACATGCATTGCACACTATTGATTCAAGAGTGAACACAGCTCAGACTGTTTTAAGACTAATTAAATGGGTCACGGTCAAATGCTGACCTATAAACACGGAATATTATCACGCTTGACTAGAAACACTGACCGGATTGTACTGAGCTCACACAGAACTTTAGCAGTAAACACGTGCTGTCGCGAGCGGGCCGTTGTGTGCAAGGGAGAGATCAACTCTGACAGATCTGTTCCTGCGGAAGACACATTCTCCCTCTCTAGCAGTTAACAGTTCGTAAAAAGTCCAGAACTGCCTTTCCTTGAGGACTCATGGACACATATATATATAGTTATGCATGCTAATGTACAGGCAGCAGACACATTCCTTCAGATGCATGTACTCCTGCCGACACACACACACACACACACACACACACACTCCCTGAGGGGACAGTGGAAGGTATATTTGCTGTGCAGGGATGAGTCAGGGCCGGGTGAATTAGAGCTGGCACACTCCTTTATGAGAGGAAAACATATGGAAAGAGGAATAGTGGGGCGTGTTGAAGAGAAAGACTTTTACTACCTGGACCAGCCTTTACTGGCACAGTCAACACACAAACACACAAGGCTGAAGCACTCAGTCAACAAGAAATCAAAATCTACTTTTGTAATACACATTCCTTTTAGTGCAAGTAGGGCCCTATGATTTCCGCGATGCAGAAAACGCGGACGGAATCGCAGAATCCAGCCATAAAAATGGAATTCAGAGTTTAACGCGGAATGTCACGGAATTTGTCAAATTTTGAATGAATTAATCAAAAGTAAGTCATTACACTTAAATCAAATCGCGATATGGACTAGTATTTGGAAATATTAAGCCGCAAAAGTCGATTTAAATATGAATCCTGCATGTTCTGCGTGTCTCTGTTAATGAATGGCGCAGACTCGCGCGGTTTCATTTACTACACACATACTGAAGCGCGCGTGACGCTCACGGTGATTTCAGCGTCTGCCGTCTCACTAAATGAGGACGTAAACACATGAACAACATCTCCAGAACTGCTCTGAGAGTCACTTCATGAGCATTTGACCGTTTGATTTGAGTAAAACTAGAGTCATATCTCATACACAGAACTGTAAAGGTATTCATAGCAACCCGTCAAAATAAAAGTCCGGTTTCATTTGAAGACTGTGCCTATTACTATTTTTCAGTAGAATGTATCTACATAGCCTACTACTACTACTACTACTAAAATGAAACAAACATTATTTTTTAAGGAATAATCACACAACATTTCTTCCATGTTTTAATTTTAATAGTAAATCCCCTTTTGTTTGCCAAAAAATTAAGTTTGCTTAATTTTGCTAAAAAAAAGAGGGAAAAAAATTCATAAGGCTACTTTAAGAAAAAATAATAATAAAGTGAGTTGTTTTATGCATTCAAATAATTAGACATTCTAAAACACAGAATTTGGTAACAATAAAAAATATGGTGAGAAAAAAATAAAACATTTCATAGGGCCCTAAACATGTAATTTTTGTTAAACTTTTAATAAATTGATGTGAAAATGTATAAGTTTCATGATTTGAATTAATTAGACATGCTTTTTGATTCATAAAATTTAATTTAACTATTAAAAAGGAGTCGAGAAAATTTCAAACGGAAAAAAACGGAATCCAGAAATATTAAAATGGAAAAAACGGAATTTGGAAAAAAAATAAAACGGAATTTAGGAACAAATAAAACGGATTTCATAGGGCCCTATGCAAGTTTTATCAAGATTATTATACTCTTTAAAAATGTATATGTGCATTATTTTTCAATCTCTTCCTTTAACTTTTTACAATCCAGATAGATCAATTCACATTTCTCAGCCTTTTTTTTTTTATTGTTGAATGTCCTGTTTCACTCAGAAATGCACCAAATTATGAAAGTAGAAGGGGTTTTAAATATGGTCTCACGTTGAGTCCATAAACTGATTTCATGAATGCATGAAAACTAAATCAAATGAACAAATGATTGGCCTTTTGACACTGCAATCATTACAACCAACGTTGACAGTCAAATTAAACATTTTTAACATAATTCAATGTATTCACTAACAGCCCTACTATTGTTTCGGTTTCTTTGCATAATGCTGCTCACTGAAATACTTATTCTTTCATCCAAAAAGACAACGTACATAACTTGTGATACAGATACAAATGTTTGGGGTTTTAAAGATTTGTGTATTTATTTATAAGAAATTTGGATGAATTCAATTGATCAAAAGTTACAGTTATTTTTATGTCAATTCATCAAAAAAAAAAAGCAGCAGCATGACTATTTTCAACATTGATAATAATAAGTAATGTTTGTTCAGCAGCAAATCGGCATATTAGAATGATTTCTGAAAGATCATGTGACACTGAAGACTGGAGTAATGATGTTGAAAATTCAGCTTTGCATCACAGGAATAAATTATAATTGAAAACATATTTAAACAGAAAACAGTTCTTTTAAATTGTATATTTCACAATATTATTATTTTACTGTATTTTTGATCAAATAAATGCAGCCTTGGTGAATGTAAAAGAGATTAAAAAACATTTAAAAAATCGTACAGACCCAAACTTTTGAACAATAGTGTATAAAATGATTCCTCAAATCACGTGTCTTGTGCTATTATTACTATTCACTTCTATTACTAAGACCCTCTGAAGACCTAAGCAACCACCACAACAATCACCTACAACACTCTAGCAACCAGCTATCAACTGCTGAAAACACCTAAGCAACCACTTAATACAGTTTCCAGATTTTGACAGGGTCATAAAAAAAATCTACTTTTAATTGTTCTTTCTTTGTTTCTCATTAACTTGAATTACGAGTGAAGGTCTAAGCCTGTTCACATGCACTCGCTCCATTCAGCTCAAATGTCCAGAGAAACCATTCACAGATTCTGTTGTTTATAACCAGAGTGTTAACCTCCTGTGTGGAATCAGTCATTTAGCTCCGTCTGCGTCAACGCTAACAACAGACATAACTCAGACGTAAAGATGGTCATAAAGCAAGCTGCGATAAATTTGTCACCAGGTGGTTTCCGTTTGGAGATAGAGAGAGCGAGAGTTTTCTCCTCCTTTTGGGAGGCTCTATAAATCCTTCCCATTTCCGGACCGTTCTGTGGGGGTGCTCATTCCAGGGGCCTGTAGATGTATGGGACTTTTAATTTGTCTATAACTCATATTCAGAAATGTCTACAGGGAATATATTATGCGCTTCTATAAAGGAAAGCAAAGTGTTGACTCACAGCAGATACCACTGATATAGCCGAACACATTTTCTATTGAAATTTCATTTCAATAAGGGGTGAAATTTTGTTAGACATGAAAAGTTATATTTTCAGGAACACATAACATGACGAAGGAAAAAAAAAAACAATATGCCCAAAGGAGATGTCACATTTATTTCTGAACCAATGCTGCCCTCTAGTGTTCCTTAGAGGAACATCTTCTGGTTAACAGTCCGGTTAGGAATTGACAACTGGTTCTTATTCGGAACTGGTTCTGTTTTAAGACCCAGATGATTTTAACAACATTAGGTTTTCTTAAAGCAGTGGTTCTCAAACAGGGAGCCGGTGCACACCTAGGCACCTTAGCAAACTTCCAGTGAGGCCTCAAAATGACTTCATTTAAAAGAACACAAAACAAGCATTAAAATTGGCATTTTAGTCAGACCAGTAAAAAAACACAACACGAAGTCACTGGGTCTTCAAATATTGTTGTGGACAATGAGGGGCCTTAGAGTCAAAAAGACTGAGAACTACTGCTTTAATTGTTTTTAAGCCTCTGAATCAATGTACAGATTAATGTACTACAATTTTCTGACAATATTTCCATTGCTGCAACTGATTCTGCAACACAAAGGCCATAGACCTTTAGCATGCAGGAATTTGAGTTTGCAGTCTGAACTGATGACGTGATGAGAAAGACATAATGGGAATTGCAAAACAATATACACTAACGAGACAACACATCTTCCTGTTGTGAGGACCACTGGTTGTCCACAACAGCAATGCCTTTCCAGTGTAGAATGATTGACATCTAAATTACCTTGACGAACCAATTACTTTTAATAAATTGGTTAAAAAAAATTTTAAAAACTCAAAAATCTGTTTCAAGCATACTGTATTAGTTATTAGTCAATCACTCCAATGACTCACTCACGGACTAAAACGATCCAAACTCACAACGAACAAACAACAGTACATTATTTGTACTTGAAGCTCATGAGAGTTAAAGTATAAATGCTAAAGATGCAGATTCTATGAGACTGACCTGGTTTGGGTGTAACATTAGTGGTTTTCTCTGCGTCGTCTCTGGGCATTGTTGGTGCAGTTGAGTTGGTGGTGTCTGTGTCTGGACTGGTGCTGATGTCCTGTACTTCACTGTGGTCTATTTTCAGAGGGTCTTGAGGAGGTGGTTGAACACCTTCTTCATGCACAGAATCCATGGGCTCTCCTAAAAAAAATCAACACTTGCACATTTAAGATAACCACATTCATAATGCAACTCATGCAGTCCACAGGGAATCACTCAACTCGCACTGCCTACCTGGGACCATCAAATTATGCAAATCATTTCAAAAGAAAACCTCAATTGGTTGCATTTACATACACACTCACACAAGTTTTAAATTTGTATGTCTAAATGGTATGAAATAGGTCTTGATGAGGAAGAGACTCTAGTTGCAAGCACAATTTTACGTCTTAAAACCCAACCAAAATTGTCATACACAACACTGCACAAACAAATCATGCACAGGAAAAACAAAATATGGACAAAAAGACCAAAGGAGAAGAAAACTGCGAAATATGGCTGAGATAACACATGATGCATGGATGACAGGAAGGGCATCAGGTTAATGTCTGGCCTACAGCACAGAACGCGCACCTGACAAAAACGACTGGGTTTTTCCTGCAGCTATAGCCACTGTCCTCTGAAGTATGGAAGAGAGAGGCTTTAGACGATTTTTGATATCTTCTAACAAACCTGGGATGGCAAACCAAATCAGACCAGACCACAAGATATAAGAAACAGACAGAGGCTATACCTGTAGAAAACACTGGCTTGGGGATGCAACTCTTCTTATATTGGCTCCAATTAGGACTGGGCAATATACTGAATCATATATAACCAGATATGATTTGCTGCCAATGTTAAATTAAGTGACACTGTGAAAATAAGAGTTATTTTAATGGAGAGTTCACCAGTTGGTAAGTTTGATTCCTTCAATTAATTCAAACTGTCAGTTTCACTGAATTGATTTCAAAGTGATTCAAAGATTTGTTTGTGTCATCACTCAGAAAGGTTCGTGGAAGTCATTGTTGCATTTTTCATATATTAAATGTCTCAGTATAAATATATCTGTACTGCATGTATTTATTGTTATATAGACTACATTGTTATACTTGTGCATATACAGTCAATGAAAATGATTAAATATTCCAGTGTTCATTTTGGATCTGCTTTCAATGCTGAAATTTTGAATCCTCTATTGGACAAATAAACCATCATTTCAAGCCATATCAGAGCTAATTCATAACTTAAGATAAATACTGAATATCACCAAAAGCTGTAATTTATTGGTCAGCTCAAGCTCAAAAGTAAACAATGAAGCCTCTTCGGTTTGTGGAAGGCATGCAAGTCACACATTTTATGCTATTTTCTGTCAATGTTAGAAAGTAATGAAGAGCTTTGTCAAATTAGTTTACGAAACACGGACAAAATAAACATCCAACATAGCATCCAGCTTCATGCGTGTGGATCTTGGCATTGTTGTGTGAATGTTGGGCCTAAATCACCACCAGCAACCTGATATCCAGTAAATGGTGCTCACCTTCATGGTGACCCTCATCATGCTGCTCTACTGGCATCTCTCCTTTGGAGAGGAACCTATTCACTTTCTTCAAGGTCTTTTTGTGAGTCTTCGATGGATGGAAGTTCAAAGCATGGCACCTTCATAAAACAAGTACAGCAGCACAGTAATATATAAAGAGAGTGAAAAGGACACGTAACATATTTTACATGTTGCAATGCAAACTGTTCATTAGCATTTCTGAGCTGCAATATATACATTTAACTATCAGATATTAATTTTATTATACCTCAGAGTATCCTACTGTATATAGTCAAAAAAAAAAATTTGATTCATTTACCTGATGGTGTACTGTGGGCAGCATGTCTTATTCATAACAGGTTTGTAAACATATTTGCCACTTCTAAAAAAAAAAAAAAAAAGGGGGAGATCAATTTTATTTAAATATAATATAATTAAAATTTAGGCACACACAAACCAATGATTATCATAAATAATCATAAATGATTAATGGCCATTTATGCAGGGCTCACTACTAACTATACATTCAAATTGTTATAATAAATGATCGTTCATTTAAACTGAGCATATTTTATATAAATTGTCATTTAATGTTTTTTTTTTTTTTTTTTTCATTTATTTGAAAATGTACACTGTTTTTTTTTTTTTTTTTTGCTGAATATTGCACTCAAATAGATCACATCAAGTCCAGAAAAATGGTCTAGAATGATGGCTTCAGGCAGTGTGCCTGTCAAGTGCACAAAAACCCATCTGTCTGGTTGTAAGAGGTCTGTGAGACAGCTCAGGGAGTATGTCTGATTCGGTCACTGTGTTAAGCTCATTACACTGACCAGACTATTGCATCCTGTTCATGTGTAATAGTGTTTCCTGCTAAGACATTATGCAAGAAAACCTATTTATGCAGCACATGATTTAAAGTCAGAAGACTATATTTTGAAACACGCAGTTCAGAGGTCAGACAATAATAAGATCGGCACCTTCTCCAGCCTCTGTCGATGAGATCTTGGTAGTCCTGCACTGTCATAGTATGGGACCACATGCCTAGAGAGAGAACAACAGCATTTAGAACATACAACACAAACTTAGGATCAACCTCTTAAATAAAGCCATGCACGATCACTTGAACACTTAAGAAGCTGTGTGTGCATGCACCACAGCAGGAGGGCATCTGATGCCTGTGTTATATCCATGTGTACTGTAGATATGAGAGCCAAATGGACCCCTGACAGCAAATCTCTGTGACACACCGTTCACAAAGGGAAATGTTTCCTTTGACGTCATGGAGAATTAAGCTCCCACACAAGGACAAGTACAGGACATCAGTCCTCAAACTCTGAGAATCCTCTCAGTTTTTGGCTGTGGGGTTAAGATGTCTCTTTATCTAGATTGAGCTATAACGCATTTAATGAAAACAGTGAGGAGATCTTTGACACGCAGAAGATTAAAGAGACTCCTGTCACTGCCTCGTGGATTAAAGACATAATTATCAAAACCATACAATACTGACAAGACATTTTAATAAAGATGCATATCCACAACTAAAAATGAGTGACTGATACCATACATTTGTCAAAGCAAAATGGCCATATCAATAACAAGAGGGCAGGCTGATATATAAATGTGGTTATAGGCTAAAATAATTGTCACTTGAGACATACACATAGGCCTATACATCCATTTTTTATATAATTTTTACTGAAAATTTACAAAAAATATTTGAAAACAAAGTTAGACTTGGTAGATTTTGGAAAGATTTTGGACACAAGGGGGTGCTAATGCTTCTTTTAATCTGCTGAACAGGAATGGTTCAGGTACAATCAGTACATTTATAACCATTAAAAAATCCTGTATCAATAAATGGAGTTTTCCATTTATTGATTTTGAGTGATAATAAAGTCGAAATCTTTCAATGCATGATATTAGTACATCAGCCAATATTTTTATTGTTATTGTTTTGTTTTTACATTCAGGCATTTTTTTAAGCATCATGATAGATGTTTTTTTGCAGATGGTTTGTATTTACTTGAATTGTCCACATCACTTACAGATAGTTTTCCGGGTTGCGTCCATTGCTGGTGCGGCTGAGAAGGGTCTGCTGTCATTAAACAGTGCGAGAGCGGCCTCTAGTGGTTGAAAACATTGACAGCACGTGCTATTTGTTTAGACACGTGATACTGCACGCTGAACAGAGCGGGAAACTTCAGACGCGGATTTAAATGCAGCCGACAGAAAATCCTGCCACGCCACAGAGCGCCATTCACATAGTTTTCCTTTAAATTACATTATACTGGTCCCGAATCGTTGTTAATGTACATACTGAATTGTGTATTGTGCATTTTCAGCAAAACTTTTGTCTTTCTGTGGCTCTAATAAAGTCTGTGTGCTTCATTTATAGAGCTATAATATAGCTCACGCTTTCTCTTTCCGTTTGCTCCGTTTTTTAAACACAGACTCATCCATGCCAAATTCACTCAGTCATTTATTTACTTTATAACAGTAAATAAATATCGGTTCTGCATATCGGTTATCGGGCACATAAACACACAAATAATTGGTATCGGTATCGGTTATAAAATATCAATATCGGTCGATCACTAGCTATAGCCTTTGTGTATATATTTAAAGATGTGCATCTTTAAGCATGACAGTTTAAATGAAATGGTAACACTTTAAAATAAGAGTCCATTTGTAGCATTAAGATTAATGAAAGCTGTGTAAGTATTGTTCCTTGTTAGAGTGTGTTAATTTCAACATTTACTATTACTATTATTATTTTTACTACTACTACTAGTATGGTTCAGTACTGGTTTTGTTAATAAAGCACTATTTTAGTTTTTGTTCAGTATCAATTTTAAAACAATCGGTTAATTAATCGGTATCGGCCAGTGTGGTCCAACCTAGCTATTGGTATCGGCAAAATCCACTATCGGTCGACCTCTAATCAGAAGGGTCAGATTATTGTCATGCTAATGTTAGTATTATTAATATATTATTTTAGTCCTTGTTAATATTTTTAATTTATAATGCTTTTAATGTTTTTAAGATATTATATATTAATGATTTGATTTTTTTGTTCATTTTAATTTATTTAAAGCTTTAGTCATTTTGTTTTGTGTTTGTCAATTTTATTAGTTTATGATCTACATGAATATGTCTATGTAGTTTTATTGTTTATTATTTTTGCCACACCTTTTCTGTAATCTAGAGCTTTCCCTTTTTAAAGAGCATGCTTTATTCAAATAAGAAAAGGTGGGTAAGTGAATAGTCTTTTAAACGTTAAACATAATAGAAGTGAACAGCTTTTGATGAATACATCTGCAAAATGTGAATGTAAATTAACAAGAAATGTATTAATACTTCCTGAAACCAGGCCAGGAAAAGCAGGCACTCACTTTTGAGCTCTACAGAAGCCAGGCCGACAGTTCTCAGAACAAAAACAAACAGGCGATTCAATAGAACAGAACACGACACAATCCAGAAACAGCCATTAAGCGACATAAGTCAGATCACCACAACAAAAACAACAAGAGGTTTGTTTTTACCTGACTTATCATACATTAATCTAACCAATACGAGGGCACCTGTTTTTCATCGCACAATAGCCCCTGATTTGGGTTTGAGGCAGATAAACAAGCCCTAAAAAGGGGGGTAATCATCTCAAACACAATGCATGATCTCCACATCCAAAAAAACAAGACATCACTGGCAAACAGTTCAGGCCTAGAGCACCACACAACAGTTCGTCTGTGCCCTGAAATCGGCTTCGCTGATTCAGTACAACACACCATCCCAATGCCCTACTCAAAGTAATAATCAAGTAAAATAATTCAATAGAATCTGCTCTGAACATTGTCTTAATAAAACACTCACAAACAGGTTTTGAGAGTGCTAGCATTTCAGTCGCAGGTCATAAAGTATCTTATTATAATTTCAAGTGGTCCTAATTTGGGGATGTAAGAACAGGTATGGCAATACAGCCTAATGTGTTTATTAAACTTTCTCTCACACAGGCTCACACATTCAGAGCCGTTCACAATCAATTAACACTTTAAATTTATTATCTACTGTTGATGAATTATAATAACTAGGTGTTAATATTGTAATATGCGACAGAGTGAGTTGTGTGAGTGCATATTTTATCTGCCTCATCGTTTTGAATGAGCAGCCAGTAACAGTTAAACATAGACATTTCAAAATAAGAGTCCAAATTTATTTCATTAAAAGTTGAAAATCATTCATTAAGTACTTTTTCCTGGTTAATACTGTTATTTTGTATCTAGCATTTAAAATACTTAAATTGTAACAAATTAAATGTCTACTTATATTTGTTGCACTCATGCAATCATAATTTTGCAACAGAAGCATGTGTCTGACGGGATTCAGGCTGTGTGTCTTCTCTGGGTTAAGCATTAGCCCGGTATAATGCAATCTCATTGCATAAATTTGATTGGAGAGCGATAAAGTGAAAGGTTTAAGACAAGTCATTCACCTCTATATAGTTATGCCAGTCCTTATATCATCCAGCACCAGCTTTTCCTGCATTTCCACTAAGTGCTGATCTTTATGGTAACTGATTAGTATACTTTGCAAAGAAAAGTTACACACAACATTAATTCAGCACAAATAAGAGAAAGCTGTATTGTTCAAAAGTCAAGGTGAAACCAAGATTGATCCGATTTACTATCTCAGACTTATTATTCATGATGCATTAGTGCACATTACACACAAAAAAAAAGATTAAGAAGATGAACGTGCATCAATGAATGCACTGCTGAAAAGTACAAGATAATGTAGACTTATTGTAAATGATGAAGTGGTTCATATTACTCAAAAAAAAAGTCTTCGTATTTAAAAGCATCAAATTTTCATGCTGACTTTGAAAGGTTCAGGAACTTGCTTTCACTTTCAAATATTTTGGCAATCAGTTAAACTATTCTCCTACATGGCAGGACTGAAATGGGTCGTGGGGGCCTATCAGTTAAAGACAGAGCCCCCAAAGATGTGAAGTTACTGAGACCATCACCAAATTTATGCAGGTCACTAAAATAGACAAAGCCAAACGAAAGTAATCAAACGTCTCTTAACGGTCCCATCGTGATAGCTTCCAGCCACGTCAGGATTAGCATCAGAGGCACGCTTCCTTCTTCTGGTTTTCCACATTATGTGGCATGGAGCAGATTACCAGGATCAGATTATCTCCAGCACGTTCATTCATAGACAAGCTCGCCCCCTATTTATACCCAACTTTCCCACTATTACAACAATGCAGCCTGGCAATCCTTGTTCATCTGTTTACAGCACCAGTTCTACAGTGAGCCGTCAACATCAGCATCATGCTTAGGGGGTCCATGAGAAAACATGAAAAATGTCAAAATAAATTATTTACTAAATAAAATAAGAAAAGATTTAAAAACAGATTAAATATAATCAAATAAGTTATCCAAAACTATCAAACACTTAAATAATTAAATTAAATACAATACTATAACAATCCTATAATAAGCACACAAAAAAACATCATAATGTAACTTATTTTAGACGTGATTATAATATTAATTTTTCATAGTATAACTTGGGTCTTAACGCATGGGTGTTCCCTCGCACAAGGATAATCATTGGGGATCTGTGGCATCTAGAAGATTGCAAATTCATCATTTCATAAACTTATTTAAACCTGTACTTGATTATCTAATTTGTATCAAATATGCACTTTATTATCATTTTGAATGCACTTGTTACAACACACAGTTCCTGTAAAGATCTGGGCTGTTAAACCCATTGCAAAAAGACATGTCACCGGTCCAGGCAGGGATGAACAAACATGACCAGGCCTCTGCTATTCCTTCACATCAAGAAATCATTTATATCTTCTATGTTTTAAAAAATATTCCTTTGAAGTTGCAAACTGACACATTTCAATGTGAGGAAACGTTTGGCTGACAGCTGACCGGGTTTACTATCCACCACAGATAATGAAACCATCGTGCTTTTTTAATGGATTACACAATGAAATACTTTAAACAACCCATTTGGAACAATATAACTAATACTTTAATATAATTAAGCGTCTCAACATTTCACAAATCATGCTTACCAGTTGATGAAACCGTTAAACGCTAACGTAAGTCAAAGCAGACTGTCAGGACACCGGCTTCCCTCAAATGTTCTATCAATTCACTGAAGATTTACCACCAGCCACCGGTAACACATTAACATCCACTCACCGTGTGAGAAATTGCCGTTTTCATGTTTACAGTAACCGCAGCGATAGCCGTCATCTCCCCCGAAATACTCCACTATACTGTACGACCCACCCGCTGCCATTTCCACGCTCCCTCATCAGAAACATATTATAAAGGAACCCTACTATTGGAAAGGCCTGCGTCATGAATATTAATTACGCTGCATGACGTTCTCACATTGCGCGTCTCTGATTGGTCTGACATGCTGAAACCCCGCCGTTAGTAGGTAGGCGCTTGAAAACCTAAATAAATTATTAATATTAATGAGGTGACGTGATTGGACGTCCCAAAAAGACGAGGAAGCAACGTCAGCAGAACACAATTAATATTAACGAACAAAATATTTCGCCGTGTATGATTCGATTTTAAACGCAGTTTTACATAAGCACTGATTTACTCTACATTTCCTGTTGTGGTAAAAGCCCCCTAAAAAAAAGCAATAAAACATTTATGATTCAAAACTATCGTTTTGAACGCTTCCAAAATACTGTAACTTGCCTTGTTCATATTCACAAAAATGGAGTGTACACGAAAATGACAATGATATTGTGTTTTGTAATTTACTTGTTTGTTTTGTGTATACGTTATACCATGCAGCTTCACTTACCGTATGAAGCTTTACCTCCTGCATTTCCACAGTAGCCACAGCGATATCCACACTTTACACCTTTGAGCTCCACTATGGAGTACATTTCCCGAGGTATCCGTCTTGCTGACGTCTATAGTATATGCCATGCAAAACTGTCTCTGTAGTGTTAAAAAGGTGCACTGTGAAATCCCCCTCTCAGACAACGCTGGCAGTATGTTTATGTGCAGCCAGTGATGGCGCATTCAAAACATCAGGCAACACGCAGGCTGAGGTGAAGTGTGATTCACATTTGTGCGTGTTATAAGTTAAACTAAAATTACATCAATGAAAACTAAATATCCCTAAAGGACCGAAAACGGAGAGATAGGACAGCTCTACAAAATAAGAACATGTTCGAAGGATTGGAGATGTTTTCATAGCCACTAGAGGGCGGTGCATGCACTGTTGTGGAACGTATTATAACTTTATTCCCTTTTTAAAAATATCTTTTTTAAGTATTTAAAAAAATACTTGGAAATTTAAATGATTCATATTATTATAATATGTTGCACTTATTTTGTCTACAATACGTATATTGTGAGTATGAAATCATCCCAATAAAGTACTTTAAAAATAGTTTTGGAAAAAGACGTTTCCTCCTGTGTTTATAACTTTAACAATAGATTATTTTAGTTGGTTATAGCTGTGCGTATCAACCACCACCAGGTGGCAAAGTCGTTTAAAAAAAACGAATGTGGCCGAACAATTCCGACAAAATCCGAGGTAAACCGAACACCAACCGAGCGTGCGTAACAGACTTCGAAAGCGGAGCCGAATGCGACCGAAAGAATCCGAAGACTGCCGAGCTTGGACGACGCCCCAGCTGGGAAACAGTTCGTGGGTTGCCTATCAACCGCTCATACACCGGCCCGACCCATCACAGCCATGCTAGGGCTTGTTGAGTGTCACTCAGCAAGCGTACAGATGAGACACTAACAGAATGATGGACTAATCCTCGGCATTTTGTTTTTCCGATCACTATTAAATCGTTTTGAGCAAATGCCGACCTGGAATTTTGAGAGTATTACGGTTATTTTGGGATATTACTGAAGTAGCTAGCCGAGAGCTAAGTTACTTTGGCGTTGACCACTGCGGCCAGGTGAGTTAGCTTAACTTGTACCATCTAAACTAACTAGTTTACGCGTTGTCAGTCTGATAATTGTGTTGTCTAGTAGAAATAAACTTATAAAAAATGTCAAATAATTTAAACATGCTGATGAGAAATCACCCCGCTTAAGTGGCTAACAGTTCGGCTAGGTCGCATTAGCTGTAGCTAAGTATTTAACTTTATTCATAAGTATTTTTTTTTTAAAGATAGATCGATACATAATTACTTGTTATATATCTTTAATAATGACTAAATATAGTAGTCTCACTCACAACAACCGGACTATAGCTACCATGGTTATTTTGATGTTAGTTGGCAGCATGTGTTGATTAGCCTCTACTTATTTAGCTGCAGCTGTTTTTCTAAAAGTCTAGTAAATGTTGATGGGATTTGCTGTGGTTAATATTGAGTTGGAGGTGATATAATGTGGCATAGCTAATCTGCCGATTAGTGTCAGTCCTCTCCAGTATCATGACAGAGTATGGTGCACTCTAGTGACACATATTCTGATCCATTTGACTAGATTATGACTAGGGCTTTATGAAGGGATCTAAACCAAAGGTGATTTAATGTTTTGTTTTTTAATTTTACATATGAATACCGAATCAAACAGTTTAAAGCAGGGGGTTGAAATTGGGGTCTGTAAGAAAATATAAATAAATAATAAAAACCAAACTAAATCAACCAGTAAGTAAATATGATAAAACATTTTATTGATTTAAATAAATAATACATTTAACAGTGTAGTACTTTTATAGTGGGTAGAATAATAAGTAATAGAAACTAAATATTTTCCAAATAATATCTGACACATATTTAACATTTTAATTTTTCACAGTATGAATTGGATCTTTATACATTGGACATATATAGCTGCATTTTAGATTTTAAGATTAAGTAATTATATTTGGCAGTCATGGCATTTACAAGATGGAAAACCCCTGGTAAAGACTGGAATAAAAATAGAAGTTGTAAATAAAGTTATTAAAGTTTACCAGAGTACGGTTCACAAGAAAATATGATTTCAGTCTATCCACTAAAAAAATCTCATCTTTAATTCAATGTTACTTGCCATTTCTTGATAAATATTTGTCAAATTTACAGTACTAGCAATTTCTGTGAAAAAAAAAAGTCAAAATTGTTTCACCACCAACTTTTCAGCGTTGAGCGATCAGAAAAGCTTAATAATGTAGTTTTGTGTCCTAATTAGTTACTTTGACTTCTTAATCTATGGCATGTTTCAGAACGAAATCACTTTTAACCAGCAGCATTTTACTTGTTTTGTGCCTTGAGTTTAACAAGTTGTTTATTAGTGTTCCACTGACTCTGTGATATGTTAAAACTTTACAAAACCTTCAATCTGCCAAGTTTGATTATCCTGTGGCAAATCACTCAGTTGCTGTTGTAGTAGCAGAAGGTTGCTCAATGTTTTCTGCTGCTGCTCTGTGATCCTTGCGTTTGGCCTCCGGCGCAGCTTAGCGCAACGAAAATCAATATATTGAGCTCATTGGTGTCTTGGAGATGGCTTCTAGAAATTGGATACAGTTTTAAAACTGTTTCAGTGCATTTTAAAATGATAAAGGCTTCACTCCAAGTTTAATATTGTCTCTGGAGTCAGAATGCAGCTTACCCTTTGGGCTTGGCTGCAGTTTATGAAATGAGGAGAATGTCAGATCTTCCAAAGCTCCTTTCAACCAGGTCTTGTTCAGCAACGCAACAGCTGCTCCTGGGACTCACCATATGTTCCATTTGTCACACCTCACATCCTGTCTTCTCCCTGCATGGTATAGCAAACAAGATTCAAATGTACTGCCTCCATGTGAGCCCTAGTGATGTTGCCCTCGAGCTTTATTAGTAGTCAATGGCAGTTACTAATATCAAGAGCCCAGAGCAAAAGACAGACCATGCTCTATTTGCTGACTCAAAATAAACACTTATTTACATTAGCATCGAATTCACTACATTTTGTAAGCATAAATTATTGTATTTTTTAAAAGACTGTAAAATGCTATGATGAAATCCTGTTGGTTAATGGTACTGACAGAGATATAAAACACTAATGGGACATAAAATACTGTTAAATGTGCAATTTTTGTTAATGAAAAATAACAAGTCATCTTATAAGTTACAGTGGATAAAAAAAAACGTAATTTGACATTGCCAGAATTATCTGTAACACTTCACCTTTGCCACCTGTGTTTTTATGGTGTTTGTCAGTATCATAAAGGTACAAAATACTGTATATTAGTAGTACTTTGATCTATTAACATTATATCAGTAATCTGTCATTGAATTTTTTTTTTTACCTAATTTGGTATCTTTGAAACGGCTTGTAAATCTGTTATTATGCTATATTTATTATCAGCAAATCTTGGATTCAATCTTTTTGTCAATTTGTCTTCTTTTAGTTAGCACAGGTTTTGTATTTCTTTTAGGAACTGATTGATTGTAGGCCTCATTGATCTGAGCTTATGCACCACAGTTTTGGAGTGGGAAAAAAAAGCATTATTTGTGGATAATTTTGGCAACGTTTACTCAAGGTGCATAAACTCAATGAGGCTTACGATCAATCGTTTCCTAAAAGAAATACAACACCTGTGCTAATCGAAAGAAAACAAGTTGATAGAAGATTTCAATCAAGATTTGCTAATAATAAATAGGAGCATGATGAAAATAATGTATATTAGGGCTGAACGATTTTGGAAAATAATCTAATTGCGATTTTTTTTTTTTTACGATTGCGATTTAATATGCAATTATTTTTTAAAGCTTGTTATGTTCTGTATTATTCAACAAAGACAAGCTATAAATCATTGTATAGTATGACCAACAAAATATTAGATAGATTAAACGTAAATGTTCTTTTCTGTAGGCCAGGCCTATATGTTACGATGAAATTAGGTGATGCATGAATTGATATGAATGACATTTTTAACAACTACAACCACAGTATATTGACTGATTTGTTGAACTTCCAACCTTGTAAGTATGTAATAATTATGACAACATAAAGCTCTGACAAATAAGCCTGGTCAGTAACAAATCACACAAACTAAAGTAGATTGCAGAAATATAAAAACAAATCTGTTGCTTTACCACACTACTTTAGGTAATTCAAAGTCACTGTAATAAACATA